GCGCATTATTTATTTATTAAATGCATTTATTTAATATAAAAAAAATCGGGATAAACAAAGTATAATCAGTTATTTAAAATAATATACAATTTATTTATATAAAAAAATATCGCAAAATTGAATATTTACATCGAATATAAAAATATATATTTGCATTGAAAAAAAAACATTTATTTTTCATAAAAATTAGAATCTAATAAATGTTTATTTGCTTTTAACAACAAATTAATTTCAAAGTTATTATCTAGGAGACGTGCTCGTTTATCTCCAAAGATGAGCTTACCTAGACTGAATAAGCGCTCTACGGAAGCACTTGATGTTAGAACAACATTATATTTAATAAAGAGTAATTTTAACTTTGGAAAATCGTTATATAAAGAAAAAGTGTTGTTATTAGATTTGATAAAGTTTTCTATAAGTTCATTATCCAGAATATTTTGGCGCTTTAGGTCAAAAAATTCAACTACATCAAGTGATGTTGGTTTTGAGCATGATTCATTCGTCTGGGATTCACTTTTAGGTATAAAGGTATTTATTAAATTTAAAATTTCCTCCTTTTTTGCTTTATTCCTTTCTTGCTTAATCCAAGGCCAGTCAGTTTTAAATAAAGGATGAAGAATTGCAGCAATGATGTTGTCATTATCATAAAGATTATTAAACTTATAACATGATATTATTAATTTATAAATAATTATTTGATTTTAGTTACCTTTTTTCAATACTAGCTAATATAGTATCCTTTAGAGGTTGACAATATTTTAATCCCTGCACATCTGCCATACATATAAGTATTTGTGTTATTGTTGGGAACAATCAGACATTTTCAGAAAATTTTAAATTAATAAATTTAATTTAAAAAATAAATTTAATTTAAAATTAATTTATCACAATATATTAAAAATAAAATTAATTATTTGAATATATCTTTAAAAGTAACTAGATACTTTTGGCAGTTACATTTCAAAATTTGTAACTAGTTACAGTTACTAGTTACAATTTTAAAAATATAACTAGTTACAGTTATTTTTTAGCCAAAATGTAACTAGTTACAGGTAACTAGCTACTTGTAACTAGTTACCTTAACATCACTAATTTTTATAATCGACGAGAAGAGCTTTCTGTCGATCGTGATATTATAGAATGGAATGGGAGATTGGTTATTCCTAATAAATTAAGAAATGCAGTGTTAGAAACATAGGCGTAGCCAGGGGGGGGCAAGGGGAAATTCCCCACCCCCTTCAGAAATTTATCACTTTTTGTAAATATCATTTTTAGCTAATAAAAAATATCCCCCTTAGTCCTCCCTCCACTCCCTGACCCTCAAATATGTATGCATATATCTTAAATAATAATTTAAAAGAAAGAATGTAAAAGTTGATATTTTTTTATAAAACTATTCATCATAATTTATAGATTTTTGGGAAAATAAATTTATAAATATATAAAATGAACCAAAAATGTTTTTTAATAAATGGAATATAAGCCAAAGATAAGTCTTAAGACAGAAGTGAAATGTATCATAATTATATTAATAATAGATCCATAATATTAATAAATAATATAATATATCAAATATAATTTTTTATATAGTGAGTAATCTTAATTTATTAATCTTAATAAAAGTTAAATATAATTTTAAAACTATTGATAAAATTAAATCATAAATTAAAAAAATATTAAAGCACAATACAAACAGTGGAATATTATATGTCGTAGATTTACAGTATATCTAATTAACAAAAAACAATCAAGTAATTTTTACCTATATAGCGAATAATCTATTTTACAGATAACTATAAAATATTGATAAGGTCATCAGAAAATATATTTTAAAGACATTGTGGGATGAATAATATAAAAATTAAATTTAAATATCATTTTTCTTAAAATAAATAGATGGCGTTAAATAATTGAATGAAAATTGTTGCATATTTAATATCAAGAGCATTGATTAGTAAAATTTGTTAAATTATTAACTGTAATATATTCTATAACTGTCAAATATGTCTGTAAAAGTGGAATTTTATCTAGTATTTTATAACTAATTCTATATAATAGAGTAAAATCAACTATATGTCTACTTACTTTTTATAAATAAATTACTTATAATTGTTTGGAATAAATTATTACCATGCTTTTATATTAAGGTATATACAATACAAGTAATTTATTATATTTTTATTTTATATAAACTAATAAAAATATATTTCATATAAACTAATAATAATATATTTCATATTTGTTAAAGGCTTAAAAACCGGTGGGTCAATATTAGATGCATATTTCTAGTAGTTGGAGGGCTATCATCAAAAAAAATTTTTGGGGGACTTATCAAGCCTATTATGATATTCTAAAAGTTAAAAAATAACACGATGAATGTAATGTTAATAAGATTAAGGTTAATTAATTGTAAAGTAATTAAAAAATAAGATTAAAAAAGGGGAGAAAAAAGAAGGTATAAATTATTATATTATAAAAATAAAAATTTTACAGGAATTGATAAGGTTTTGAGAAATAGTGGTTAATAAATAATAGAGATAGAAAGAAAAGAATGAGATAATAAAATTTAGTGATAAATAAATTCATTAAGTGAGAGGAAAAAAATAAAGAAAGAGTTATTTATAAGGATTGGAGATTATAAATAAATTAGGATAAGAATATTTAAATATTTGAATAAACTTGATTATCTTCTTAATTATTGGTTATGAAAGAAAAATATAAGTATAAAAAATTGTAATGTAATTACTGACAAAAATTGTGAGTATGTTCAAAATAAATATACAAGTTAAGTATCTTGTAGAGATTTCATTAGTGTGTAATTGATAATATGAGATGAAAATTGATAAGGTAATCTAAAAAATAAAGAAAGGATTAAGTGAAATAAAAATTTAACCTGAATCCTTTTATTCACATCATTTATTTCATTCATATTTAGAAAGTTGAGGGAATATTGTTTATATCAATTCAAAGACTATTTTTCAAATCTCTCAATCCATGTTAGGTATGTGCACACCATCAATTCTCGAAATTCCATTCATCTGTTTCAATGACATGTATAATACCTAGACTGACGATTCATTAATTAAAAGTGTGCATAAATGCAAATCAGATGGAGCCGCCATCTTGGTTACACTAATCATTATTAAAATTTTAAACGAGAGCCTAATTTATTACTATATCTATGCAAACTTTATTAAAGAATTACCGAATCATCGAGATAATAAGGAAGCAAGTTATAAATTTAATAGTAGCTTTTAACATGAGAATAATTACCATATGTGTTACCAAAATGGCGAATCCAGCTGATTTGCTTTTAACGACGCTTAAAAATGCATTTTAATGAATGAATCGTCAGTCTAGGTATTATATATGTCATTGATCTATTTGTATAATATAAATAAATAAAATCAACAAATAAAAAAAACAAAAAAAACGTACCGATGACATGACGTAGAGATGACATGACGTAGAGATGACATGACGTCATAATGACGTAGTAAGGACATCGGAAAATTATAATATAGATATATTATTTCATCCTGCATATTATCATTTAATTTCTACCTATCAGTGCTAGAGTTAAGTTTACTATCCTGTAAGAAAATATTTTAATTATTCAAACTATACTTAATATTAAGATTTAAAAATGAGAGGTATTCGTCTTTGTTTTTGAGTAAAATATTCACTATTAAATTATATGTTAATAGTTTAATTAAGTAATTTTCTTAAAGTTGAAATCTTTAGATGGACAATAGTTTTGACTTATTTTGTTTCTACAATATATTTTTTTATTGTATAAATAAAAATCTCAGCTCTGTACTTGTAGTTTTATAGTTGCTAGAGTTTAAGTTTTGGGTTATTTTTTTTGTATAGGCGTTGGTTTTCCTTTTTCGATAATTAATTTATTCATATGAAAATTTATTGAGTTAAAAAGGATAATTTTATTTAAAAAATTTTATTTTAAATTAAATAATGTATACGAAAGTTCAGATTTTTTTAAAAATTGAAAAAAAATTACAATTAAAATTTTTTTCTCTCCTTTGTTCATTAAAAAAGCATTTTTTTTATTTTGTCTTTTGCCCAAAATTTACCCAACTTGTCTTTTCTCTTTATTTATTAAAAAATAAAAACAATTTTATATTTGTTTTCTCAATGTTTATTTTTTCTCGTAATAAGGATAGCAATATTTCTTTTAATGTAAATAGAAATAAGAATTATTAAATTTTTTATGGAGCATAAAAATATATTTATTTTACTTAAGATTTTTTAAGAAAAATTAAATAATGAAATCCTTCTCTTGCTTCTAAGAATCCTTCGTCATTGTATCCCAATTATTTCTTGATAATAAATTACTTTAATCTTGTATATCTTATTAGAAAATTACGTAAATACTAGTAAATATTACGAAATTGCATAATCTGTTATTTACATATACAAATAATAAAATAATGAAATTTGTTGTGAAAACAACAATGATTTAATCCCTCCCTGATTTTTGTAAAAAAAATATTAGCTGTCATCAAATAAAATTGCAAAAGGTATTATAAGTTTTTATATTCTTAAAGTTAAGAGTTGAAAAGAATACAAATATTTTTATTTAACAATGTTTATGTTTATATAAAAAAATATAATAAATTTTTCCAGTTTGCATTGTAGAATAAAATAAAACTTTATTTTATGTAAAATATAGATAGCTTATATTATATTAGTCTTGTATGTTCAAATTATAACGTTAATTTAAAATGTATTTTCCCACTAAATATTTCAATCTAAATATTTGCAATTTTTATTTAAATTAAAGAGATGTTTGTTATCGATAAAAAATATGATAGTTTTATTTCTATAAATGTCCATGTCATGTATATAAAACAGTATATTATTATTTTTTGAATTAAAATACACTATTTTGTAAGTAAAAATATAATTATTTATGAAAGTTCTTCAAGCCAAACTTTAAATTTTTCTTAAAATCTATATTATATAAAAAATAACACTGGCACAAAACTTACTATATAATTCAAAAAGCCAAAAATGATAGATTATGAAAGATTTTTTGGATACTATTTTAACACTAATTGGTGATTATAATGATCCTTCATTAAATATACATGTTGATTCTTTAATATTAAAATTGGTAAAGATTCTTTCAATAGGTATGGATTTTAAATAATATCTTCTTTTTTTTGCAAACAACTGAGTATATTAATGAATTTAATAATGCTTAACAGTAATTTAAATTATATAATATTAACTTATTTATATTATAAATTTTAAGGTAAAAACGAATTCCGTGTCAAGACGTTAGAACCTTGGAATAGTGTGAGATTAACATTTAATATTCCACGAAATGCAGCTATAAAACTGAGAAATATTGCTTCTTCTCAACAGAGGGAGCAATTACAAGAATTGGGAATTTTGAGTGTGCAAATTCAAGGTGATACAAGTTCCATACCAGTATGTACAGCTTATACAATATCTAAAGGTGCTGTGATTAGTGAGGCTACTAATAATAATGTTTGCATTGCTCAACATTTGGTTCAAAATAAAAACACATATAATGATATAAAATATAACAATTTTATAACAACACCTACTAAGTTGATTACAGATTCTGACATAAATTTTGTTAAAAGGGTATATGCACAAGATTCTATTAATTTAGATAGGAAAATAGAATATGTAACCCAGAATGTTAGTAAGGGTGTATTACAAAACTTTCAATTAGCTGGGCCATCTCATCTTCATGACAATGCAACATTTGAATTGATTAAGCATAACCAAAAATTTCAAAAATACAATTCTGTTTTAAATGAAAATTCTAAAACCTATCCTCTGACAAATAGTACTCAATCTAGCTTTAATAGTTATAATGATCATAAAATATTAGAAAATATAAAACAACACAATATATATTCTTCATCTTATATGGGCAATATACTAGATAACATGAATGTGGATAGCAAATATATTATGGATACAGTTGTGGATCTTAGTCAAATAAAGGATCTTAAAGAGTTAGAGCCAGCTGATATAATTAAAGAAGTTGGACCAATTTGCACAAATTATTATGAAAATTTAGAATATGGAGATAATACTAATATCCAAAATTTTTGCAATATTAATAACAATGACATAAATTTATACATACAGAATAATAAATTAGAAGGCAATAGGTTTAATAATATTTATCAAAATAACTATAAAAGCAACAATTTTTCACAAATACACCCTCTTTATAATCGACCATATTCATTCAACCAAAATACTCCCACAAAATTAAATGCTACTTTGAAGGAAAACCTAGAATTGAATTACAAGAATCCTTATCTTCATGATAGGATTAGAGATTCACAGTCATTCTTCCCTGAAAATAATTTATTAAATTCACAAAACAATTTTATCACCGGAGAACCTAATTTTGAGAGTGACCTAACAATGCAAAATACCTTATTACATGCAAACAGACAACACCCCATGATTCCCTTCCAACCTGTCTTGCTTGACAAATCACAACCATTCAAGAGACTTAAGATGGATCCAGATTATAAATCTCACCCACCAACATATCCTATCAACAACACCCCCTCAATATCTCGAAACTATTCACCCAATTTTAATTCAGCCACATTTAAGTCAAATTTTGTGCCAAACAACAACCCGTTTGATCCCAACAAATCGTCACAATTTAAAAATTACTCCTCTCTGCCCAACAATCGATTGTCACTTTATAACTATGATTACCACCAATATCGAGATCACAATATTATCAACCATCCCAAATCTGGGCTAAATCTCCCAATTGCCCCTTCAAAAATTCCATCTTTACCTTCCCCTAATTTCAGCAGTAAATCTTTCAATTATGGTCATTCCTCTCCCTCCTTTCACAATCAAGGAACCTATTCTACAGCTCCTGACCCTGTTCTGTCTAGTCCTCTCTTAGTTAACCTTTTACAGAAAAACGTTAACAACCACATTAATCCTACAATCTGCTCAGCTCATTCTCCTTCCCCCTTATCTAATTTTTTCCCTCGAATGAATAATAGTAGCAATAATTTGTCAGGCACCACAGATCCCAGACATGAGTACCTTCCTAATTATAATAATCAGGCAGTCTCAACTTCATATATCAAACCTTCTTTGCTAGAAAGTTTGAACCATTTCCAAGCTAGCCTAAAAAATGCTGCCAATTATGAAATAATTACACCCACCTGCTCCTCCATTCTTAATACCTCTTTTTCTAATAATTTTGCTGATAATATCAACCCTATCATCACTAAGTCTCTAGTAAATACACTTGACCCTGATATTTACAGTAACTATGCCAGGAAGCCTGTAACTGATAATTATACCTACGTTTTACATAATAATCCTCTCACTAGCACGTTTAATAACAACTTTTTCAACAATCTACCTCTAGGTAGTAATGCATTTAACACGTTTAATAATAACTCCTTCAATTCTCCTACCCCTATAGATGTCAATGGCAATAATGCCAATTACAACAAAATAGACAATGGACAATTTTACAGAATGGATCATCATTCATTATCCCCACATAGCATGTCAATGGCGGACAAAGCCACTATTATTGAGGCACATTCCACTTTAAATTCCAGTAGCCTGGGTGGAAAGAAGCGAAAAAAGATTAAAAATTCCTCAACTACAAATGTTAGTAATTTTCCCCTCGTGTTAATTAACTCAATACCCAGTGATGGTGCTTCAAAGCTATCCAGTAATTCAAGCATATATTTTAATTTTTTAAAAATTACAACTAAATTTGAAGTCATGATATAAGTATTATTTATTTTGAATTAAAATTAAATATCCTAGTTGACCATATGCAGGACAAACTTTATCATATTTTATATAATATGGTTAATTGAAATTTGTCAAATTACAAATTTATCCATCTTTATTTAAATATCTCATAAATTACAAATTTATCAATATGTTTCTCTTTATAAATTAATTTTGAAAACCTCATGTAACGCATATTTAAATTCTACTTTACTACATTAATCGACTTTCACTAAATTGTGGGATAATTAAGAACAACTTTTTTTCTCCTAGTATATTCATTCTGCTAAAGATGTATCCTGTTGTTGCATTTAATGTGGCATTTGAAAGTGGAGTACACAATTTTCCTAGAGTTAAGAGGTTATGGTTGGAATTCAAAAATTTATATATTTTTTTGATGGTATTTTTGAAATATGTTTAGAGTAAAATAAAATGTGAACAATTTCAATCAATTTTTAACATTTTAAATTTCTGAATATATCTACAATTCTCAAATAGTTTAAACTTCATTCAAATTAATTACATGCCTTTTTTAAAATATATTAGATATTGGGATATGAGTGAAATTAAAGCAGTATATAAATGTTAGTTTAGTGATCTGAATTAGGCATTTTTCAAAGCCAAAATTAAAAAAAAAATTTATCTTGCCTTATCCTGAACAAAATTTTTTATTTTATTTATATCAAAAAGCCTAACCCAAAATAAAAATTTATTTTTGACCTGGCCCAAATTTATTTAAATTATAGAAAAATCTAATAATTTTTTGATTGTGAAAAATTTATTCTACAAATAAAAAATATTAGCACATTGTTACTTGCAAGATTTAAAAATATATAAATTTATTTGATAAATATAATCATATCATATTTAAAAATTTAAGCCTGGCATGAAATTTTTTAGAAAATATTAGACCCCCATTCCAAACCAAAATTATTTTTAAAAAAATAAACCCAGCCTGGGTTGTGATTTGCAGGTCTCTAAGTATCATAACTTATATATGAGATATGTCAAGAATTAAAAATGGCCTATTTTTTGCATATCAATTGTCTTAATTGAAGGTTTACTAACTACAGAATTATCAATAAATGTTATTTCAAAGTGTATACAATATTTTTTTAAATATGGCTGTCCATTTAAATCTTATTCTAAATTTTAAAATCTTTATAAATATTTAGTTTCAGATTTTTTAAAATAAAATTTTAAGCAAGTCACCAAGACTTTACATCTATATAAAATAAATTGGAATACCAAGTTTTTGCTTTAATGGTAAAAATCAATAAAAACAACTAAAATACAAAAGAATATATTTTAGCATAATATCTAAAATTGTTATAATATTATTTTTAATAGTTTTTATATGACTATCTTATAGTAAAGTATCTACAACACGTATTTATGTAATATTTTTATTTGGTAAGAAAATATTTAAAAACATTAAATTACATGCATTATATTAAATTCCCCCCAAAAATATTTTTCAAATCATCCAACCTTAGAAATTTTATATAAATATGTGTAGTAAATGCTTTATTATTATAAAAATAGCACAAGAAACACATTTTTAAAAAATATTAGAAGAATACATAATGTTGTTTATAAAACAAAAAAAAAACATTTGTTTTTTTAGTGCTTAATCGATTTTTTTCATGATGAAAAACTTCGCATTTCAATTTTCCAGACATAGTAGATTGGTCTTTTTACAAGGATCTTAAATTTTAAAATAGTTGAATGGGCCACCACATTAAAAGTAAAAATTTCATTATATTTTGATATTAAAATTAGTGTTGCTAAAAGCCTCGATTTGAGCCGATTTTCAAAAGCGGCTAACTCAATATTCTAGAAAAATATTGTATAAGTCTCAAAATTTCGCTAATAAATGTTTAAAACGTATCATCTTCGGCATATGAGCCAAATCTTCATATTTGCATAACATTTTTATGGATAAAATATTGAGTCATCCGATTTTAAATTTATAATTCCTTAGTTTTTTAAGTAAATCTTTAATCGAAGGACAATCGATAAACGTGAAAACAGGTCCTTTTTAGCACTTTAACCCTAGATATCTCTAAAAATATAAGAACTTGGGCCCAAAAATTTGAACACTGCTTAGTTTCGTTTTGTATACAAAATATCACCCAAACTCCAAGGGGTCCAGAATCGTGATGACGATTTGGCATAGAAAGACCTATAAACAAATATATTTACTACGGTATCTTAAAATCTATGTTCACATTGAGTCCTTTTGATGTTTATTATATCTTCGATTAAATCATTGCTTCATTTGATTCCAGATTTTTCGTGACTTTCTTAAGGTGGGCACATATAGTTACATGCTAAGATCCGCTTCTAATAATTCACTAACCAAAAAATGATTGGCCTATGTTTTCAATAAAAGAAAATTGGACTCGAAATTTAAAAAAAAAATTCAACTCGGGAACAATTAGCAACTATTTTAAAATTGTGGGAAAATCTCCCAACCTGACTTGTGTATAATGGCTTCGACCCATTTAGGCTTGGCCTTATCAAAAAAACGAATATGAATCGAATAATGAATTATTCGTATTTGATTATTTTGAACGTATTATACCAATCGATCAAAAATAATGTATTTTGGTATTCGTAAGAACACGAATAGTAAATTATTCGTTTATTAGAACCGAGTACGAATAATTTATTATTCGTTTTTAAATAGGCCTATTTTAGCTACTATTTTTTTCTACCCAAAATTTTGATCATTTTTGAATATTTATTTTTATTTTGAAAAAATGGTAAACTCTGTAATCGAACCTATTTTTTTTAAGGTCCAGCTAAGCTGGCTCTGAGTTTTTTTATTTTACTGAACTAGAACAATTGAAGGTTCCAGTACGAACCTGCTTTATCTTGGGTTATAATATATGTTAGTCTACACGTCATATAGCCATTTGCTAAACAACGACCAAAATTTATAAAAATAAAATAAAGACCTACTTATTCGTAAAAAAAATATAATATATTAACGGAATCACGCGTTCGCCTCCTATATTCAATATTATATCATCCCTCTAAAAACGGAGCCGCCTAGTTGGCTTTAAAAAAACACGGTGCTTGCAGGATTCGACCCCAGAAATGTCGGATTTCGAAAAACATTAAATCTTAAGGATAAAATTACAACGCTATCTAATATTTTAATAAAACATAAAAATAAATCAATAACGTTCAAAAATACATCATTATCCCCTTTAATATTTTCAGAAATATTGCTTGAACCAAAAATTTTTTTTTCACAATTTATTTATTAAGCAAAGAAAGCTGAAAAATTATAAAGCGCTCGAGATAAATTTTATTTTGTGCTTTTTATTCCGGACAGGTCTGTGCCAGCTCTGGTTCATTAAAAAAATATTTTTTTTGACGTTTACTATTTATCATGCCTTTTCAATTGTGTTTCTTATTAGTTACCTTAAAATTTAATTGAAAATATTATAAAATTATTTTGTAAGGTACACCTCTAATATATTCCACTGGGGCATCCTTCACAAACTCAAAATTATACAACCCCAATTTTCTCAAACCCAACATCCCGGATAATTCTAATATTATAAATAACAACAACGTCAATGCGCAACCTCCTCCAATGATCTCAATTATCGACCTATTATCGCTCCAACCTTCCAAATCCGTATCGGAGCTTCTCTCTTATAATTCACCCATTAACCCGGCAAACCAAACCAACGTACTCGTGAACAGTAATCCTAACCCAACGATCACCAATTTCTCTAACCCGCCTTACAGCATAAACACGATTACGAAAGAAAATAAGCATGGCAAGGGGCTAGCCACGGCCTCAATAGCTACGTCGCTTTCAATAACCGAGATCGTTTCCCGAAATTTGGCGGCCATCAAAAACGCCATGCTGAAAAATGCTAAATCAGCCTTGACCCCTATATCATCCTCCTCCCAACTATCTTCGTTAACGACACCAATCTCTAATTGCAACATTAATAATGGCCACCATTTAGCAAATGATGTTGCATCTCTTCTGAATACCTCTTCGAGTCATAATTCTGTCACAAATTACTATGGTGGATCGGTTAAACAAAACAACAATAACGGGTAAATTTATAGATTTATGCCTCCTAAGTTGAATGATTCTTTTTAAATGATTAAAAATTGATATATATACAGACCTATACGCCACCGACTCACCACCTTCTAATTGTTGATTGAGTTGAGTCGTGCTGACAGGCTTGCTGCCGATTTTTAATATGAAGCAGTGTGGCGTGGAAAATTTTTAGAATCATGTTTAAATAATGTTATAATTTATAAATTTAAATAGATTATTGCATCATCCATTTAAAATTATTATTTTTACATTTGAATATTAAAATAAATTTAAATACGATTTTTTTTGACATACCTTCTATGTTATATATATGTATTAAAAATTGGCGCAATCCAGCCTGACGGCCAAAAAGAGGGTCGGGCCACAAATTGTTTGCAATATTTTTACTGACCAGGCCAAAGTTTTGAATATATTTTCAAAGCTGATAATTTAGCTATTTATGTTGTTTTCCTTCATAAAAAAATATTACGAGCTGTACGACTTGTACAAAACATATTTTACTTGTCTGACCAAAAAACCCGATAAAAATTTTTTACGGACCAAGCTGCACTGACCTCTAATATGTATATTGTTTTCACTTACAGTGATTCATTCATATAATAAATTTTAATCGTCTCAAGTGGATTAAAACACCCTATGTTTATAACTATGAAACAATAACGCTTTCTAATAGTAATAATAATATAATCGGTCATATGTGTCAAGATACCTTGGTAAACTAATTTTAAAGAAAGAAAAGCAGATCCAAATAATTGTAGACAAATATTGCAAAAATAGATTCTAAGTAAGGATACAAGTAGTACTATAAATTTAGAGCCGGAATTTTATATTTTATTGGTCAACACATTGTACCAGAATTAGAAGCACTAAAGAGACTAGAACTTCCGAAACTAGCTAATTTAGCCTGAAAAGTTTTTTGTGTACATGCAATAGTACATCTAGCATAAGAATCTAAAAAATATTTAAAAAAAATAATATTAAAAATTTCCCCTAGTTTCAATGACTCCTAACATTTTAATACCCCTACCAATCTTGATAAAATCATTATTATTCGCGACAATTATAATTTAGCTAGATTTGATTTTACATTTATTTTATCTAATAAATATTCTTTTGCAATCAAAATTTATATATAATAATATAGTTTATATATATACTCAAATGAATGGAAGGTAATAATCATCTTTTGTATTTATATAAATTAGATAGTATCGGTCAAGTTCATAATTAATAAATCAGTAATTTAAATTTTTATTAGGGCTGTACCGATATTTTTGCTCTTGAATTGACCTAGAAATGCCTATATTTCAGAATTGGCATGGGATTGGTAGCTAATTTTTTTATGATTGGTAGCTTTTTTTTATGCATAAACAAAATTATTCAAACGTTTAGAATTGGACGATTTAAAATTTGATCGGTTTTGCTAATCCAAAACATAGGTTGATTTTGTTTGTAGCTAACCCTTCTTAAAATATTTTTTGTTTGATAACTTATTTTAGTGTTATTAATGTTCCAAGATAGTTGTGTATTAAAAAATATCTCTTGTGCCAATTTCGTAATATACACATTTATTACTAGTCATATAAATATCGGCAAAAAATCGGTACAGTACTAATTTTCTCTAGATGGGTACTTTATGAAAAAAACTTACATTTTTATACTATTATCTAACCGTGTCAAATATAGTGAAATCTCTTATGTCGTTGGCTCTCCTTTTAAAATTCTTACAAAATTTTCTATATTTTGATAATTTTTATTATGATTAACTAAAACCTAACCTTCAAGTTATTTAACTGGAGATCAAGTTGGCGATAATCTGTTTTCTAGATAACTTTTTGCAACCTCAACAGATTTCTCAGGAAAATGTTTATAGATTTTTTAAAAAAATATGAAAATTTTGGTAAGGAATTTTTAATTTAATAATTCTCTATTTTTTTTAGAGAACTTAGTTCATTGAGACATTGAATGCCGCAGAGATTTTTAAATTATATTACGACCTGGGTTTTTCAGTTGCTTATTATAATCTAAACTATGTTTAGCTGCAAAATTTCACCCATTTTTAATGTATCTTATTTACAGTTAGAATTCTCTAAAATAAATCATTTTAGAATCTGAACTAAAAAATAATAATTTTCCCATTTCATTCTTTTTTTAAAAATATTATTGGTTCCAGGTCATAAAAGAAAATTAAAACGTTTTCCGTTCTTTGATTTGACACAGTTCTGGTTTCAAACTGTTAATTAACAAATGAAAAAAATTAAACATTGAAACAATAATATTTCGAACAATATATTGCGCATTTGTTAGAATTGATTCTTGTTCCAAATTCTTATTAAAATCATATATGTTATTAGGGGTGTAAGATTCTGATATAACTAAGATCTGGAGAGGGTATTCAGTAACGTATCTTGGTTTAAGAAGCAAAATTTATAGGCAATGAAGTGTCCCCCTGCTACTCTAAATAGGGAATAATATTAAAATTTGAAATAATGTATTGCAAACAAAATGTATCATTTTATGTTGGTACAAAAAAATAATTATTTTTTAAATTTTATATATAATAATATATAATGTAGAAACAAAACTGTTACACCTTCGAAATCGTCCAATCATCACAACCCCAAGAATAAGGGCGCTTCAGGTAATCTCAATAATTACTCTGGCAATCTCAGTAATTACCATCTAACGCCTATTAATAGCCACATTGACGACATGCACGCGATCAACGTCAACCTGGGAGAGTTGCAATTCATGCAAAATTCCTCCCACATTGCTAATCCATCGTCCATCTCTAAAAATACCGAGCAATTGAATTCGCCCAATATAATAAACAGTATATTATAATTAAATCATGTGCTGATTACATAAGCGCCCTATACTTTTTTTTCAAAAAAAATATAACTTTATTTTTTTTGTATTATCATTTCTTAAGAGGTCTTTCCTATGTTTCTTTTATAAATAACATTATATGGGGTTCTTATTTTGTCAACCATATTTTTTTTTATAAGTTTATATTTTTTATAAAGGCAATTTTTAATAATATTTAAAACAAAAAATTAAGGAACCATAATTATCTTGATTGTTATTTATTTAGATCTCGAATTTGAGATAAACAAAGACATAATTTTCGGATTAATTTTTGATGATAATAATTTTTGTTTGCTAGTATGATATTAAAATTCTATATCACGCTTCATTTTAAATAAGGTTATTTATAATTTTTAAGGTTTTTTTTCAGAATTTTCGGCAAAATAGCTCCATTTTTTTGTTATTTCGTATTTTTGACTCTATGTTTACAATGTCATTTGCTTTCTCCCATTTTTAATTGATTTAATTATATAAAACTTTTATTTGCTACAACTTAAATTTAACAAAGAATCACTTGTGACATCAAATCTTCCACAGCCGATTACTGAAAAAGGCTCTCAGAAATCATCATCGAAAGAATCTTCATATTACAAGATCAGTAATAATCCATTAGTCAATGATGCTTCTACAAAGATAATTAACAATATGATCATGGAAAAACCCCCCACCAGTCACAAAAAGAAGTCGCCTCATACGAGTACTGAAAAACGGCATAAAAGGGTAAAACAAAGCCAAAGTTCTAGTATTATCTCCAGGAGTAACAGTTATAGCAGTTACTCTACCCATAAGGCTTCATTAGCTGAAAGTATTAACATGAACAACATATTCGATAGCGTACTTATGACTGCTTCTTCTTACCCATCACATCCTAATTTATTGGTTAACCCTTCAAAATCTTACAATCCTATCACGAACATCATTCAAGACAGTTCAACGACACTGGAAACATGTCACAACACACTCACCTTTGGCGCAAAAATTGATGATACATCTCTGGACCTAAATAAGACGACAGAAATATATAATTACATCGACATTGACAGCACCAATTCCGCTGTCAACCAAACAATAGTCGGACTCAAGGGGTCCTCAGCCTCCCTCACAGATCTGTTAAATGTCAATATCACCCCTTGCAATAGTTTGACCAACAACTCGAACCCGAATTTACTCAACAATAACTACAATGATCGAAAAAGGGATGAAAACTATAATGGTAATAATATCAACGATAGCTTAACATCCCTCGTAGAAAAAGAACCATTTTATTTACACTCATCGCACTCATTATACACATCAACAAACCATCATCAAACATGGTGTGAGCCCTCGCTATTCATGAACAACGTTGCACTCGATAAATCGCCATTAGTCAATCAACATAATCACAATTTCCATACCAACAGATTCGCACCTGACAATTTTTTAGCCTCCCAGCTACCAAGTCAGCCATCCTATCACCAAAATTCTATAGAAACGATGGAGTTCAACCCTTACGGAAACGCCTACCCTCCTTCTTACAACTCATATAATACTTATAACTCCTACCCCTCTGCACATCAAAATTATCATCATAATCCCCCCATTTCTTCTGGCGGGTTACAACTAAATAGCTATTATATCAACAATACCTTCAGCAACTTTAATAATTTCCACAATAATGCAGCCCCAATCAACAATGCCCACTATTCGAATAATCTGAATAATGTTAATAGTCCCAGTCAATTATTAACTCACAATAACATGAACAACTATAACAATAACAGCAATAGCAACCCGGGGACAGGGGGTGGCTCTATATTCGAAGAAGACGATAACTACCTTATGACAATGGAGGATGGGGCTGGGCTAATCGACACAGCTGCCACCTTTGTTGACAACGAGGATATACAAATAATGTCTGATCGCAAACAACAGCTAAAACAACGTTTATTTAATAGTAACGGGCCAGCTGGCAATATTGGTATGAATGACACTGTGTAAATATTTAATTTGTTTAAACGGTATCTCTTATTCTTTTAAAATATATGTAAGGTAACTTACTACCTCTTAAAATAAAATTTTTGCTTATAGTATCTTTTAAGTTCTAACGTTATTGTTGATAAGTTGAAATATTTATGTGTTTCCTATTCTAATAACATTTCATTTGATTAAAAAAAAATAGTAACATGATATTATTTTTATATAAGCAATGCATTTAAAAAAATGAATAGATATACACATTCACAACTCTCAATCACACCCCTACATATACGATAAAACATTCGCAACTACATACTGAGGTAAAATAGTAACATTAATTTTACATCAAGTGCTGCTATTTCATAGTGGGAACCGATCTTTTAAAAATTGAAATTATTATATTAGATTATTATCACGAATGAAGTTAAAGATAAAATTAATATTAATAAAGAAAAATTGATCTCTTTATTATGTTATAACTTAAATTGAATTAGTGATTTTAAATTAAAATTGAAATCTGAAAATGTACTATATTTTTATTGTAAATTTTATATCCTTTTTTATCAATAAAATTTGTTCGACTAAAATTGATAAAACAATCTATTCAAATTATAAGGCGTATGTACCAGGGTTGGCTGACGGAGAAATATTTGACCTGGTCAAATACGGTCAAGTACTGTATAAAATTTGGAAGAAAAAAAATTAAAAATATGTTTCAAAAAACGATATAAATACATGTGATCACAATGTTGCTTATTTATTGGGTCCCCAAAATCAAGGGGAGCATCTTGCTAATAGTGAACTTAATGAAGTATATATATAATACAAGAATTTAGGCATTTTACAAGGTGGTGATGATCAAAAATTTCTAGTGATATAAATTTTAGAAGTAAAGGCGGCATGTTGCAAATTATGTGGAAAGGAGTAACTTCCATAAGAAATTAAGATTCCGATTTCAAATTAGTGTAATTGGCTTTGCCCACCACGCCCATTAAGATAAAGTAGCATTTTACTAATAATTCCTAGTTCTACCTCTTTTTCGGAAATAAATTGGTCTATTTGGATTAATATTCTTACTGAAACAGAAATCGATTGAAGATCTCGCTAGTAGGAAATTATTATAAAATATTAAAGAAAATGATAATATTAAATATATATGAATCTGAACAAAACTCTGCACGCAAGTGTAACATTAGTTATTGAATGTCATTGAATTTATAAAATTGATATTATAGATTCATTACTATTATGTACAAAATAAAGTTAATATTATCTTAAAATGGCCGGTCAATTAACCGAATGTATTTGACCGGTCAAATACCCAACCCTGGCATGTACAATAATGAAACTTAAACAACGTTACGATAATATTTAAGAAAAATGATAAAACAATCTATTCAAAATATATTGCGTTTATATATAACTTAGTTAATATAATATAAAAATATATTCAAATACATGATATTTTTCAAATATAAAACTCTTAAACAGATTTTTAAAATCGATTGGCTGTTAAAACGGATCCCACTATAAATCCAGCCGAAATCTTTATTATATATTATTTCTTTATTAGTAAATTACATTTATACTGCATTAGTTAGAAACAATGAGAGATCTACGATTCATCTATGCAATAATTACGAAATCAATCACTCATCATTCAAAAAAGGTGGATTTTCAAATTAATTTTGAGAGAAAAGAAAAACACTCATAATATTCTTCTTATATAATTCGACAAAATTTTAATTAAAAAAACACCTTAGTTTACTTTTTGGGTCGCGTGTATTTATTTATATCCGAAAATTATAATATTATGTGACTAAACTTATAATGTGAATATATCTTGCTAGCTTTGATAATTCATAAAACAGAAATAATCTAATCAGTGTATAAATATGTAATTTAGCTTGATTAATGCAAATAAAAAAACGAGATTTACATTTTTATAACACAAACGTAACTATTAAAAATGTTTTTTTTTATAATGGCCCATTATGGTTTGCAAAAATATTAGCCTGAGACAAAATTCCACAGCCCTTAAAAGATAGTTTTGCTTTATGTTTACTTAAAACGAGCGAAATTAATAATGGGTTATATTATAATTCAAAAAAATCGAGACATCGAGCTAATTGCCCTATATGTAAAAATTTTAAAATCTTGGTGCCGATTAAATTTCATGCATTCGATAATTTCGGTCCACAAGTAGTATAGTAATTTATAATATATCTTAATAAAATGAGCTTATATTTCTAACGCTATTACCCACAAAAAAAAGTATTGACATATTTAAAAAAAATTGCACTCTTAAATAAACCATAATGACAAATTAGTATAAGTTTTGCCTTTTATTTATCGAAAAATTTCTCTAATCTTAATAGATTTTTATTACTTTTTTTTATATGAAAAAAAAATTATTTATATATTTAATTTTTTTATATAAAATATATATTATAAATACTTTGATTAATATTTTTTTTGTAATATAAAAGTGTAAAACAAATTGTATTTTATCATCATCATTCTCATTCATTGCTGTATCCTCCCCCTTTTTTTCTACTTTTGTTCATCAAACTTTACAACACATAAATTATATATTATATATAATAAAATTATTCAAATTAATTATTATATCATAATGTTAATATATTATATTATTATTATATATATATGAAAAAAACTTTTGTGAAAAAGAAATGGTTATAAAAATTTTTAAACAATAAAATCAGCAGATTTTTTTATGGTCTATCATCCGAGTATATGTATGTCTTTTCAACAAATCTGTATCAGCTTTGATTTAGGGAAGCGTTATGAATTACGGGAAATTGCTACCTTAATTATCGCTAAAAAATCCAACCTTTTCTTCCTGATCCTTATCTATATTTTTCTTTGATATAATTGGACCTTAGCGCCGAGATATAAATCTGTTTCGGCAGCTTATTTTTGCATTAACAAATTTCTACGCGCCGAAATCGCCTCAGCCTAATAAATTGACGGCGTGATGGCGCATTTTTTTTATAAATAAATGAAATTAATTCCAATATATTTTTATAGTTGGGCACACTTACTATCATCATTGTTATGAGTTCCTAAAGTTTTTCCGTGTCCGCCCTTATAAATTTATGCTTTTTCTCATTATCAGAAAGTAGATTTATGATAATGTTTTAAAAAAATATCCCTTTAAGCCATTTCAGACAAGGTGTTTTCAAAGCGATTTTATAGGCATATTTCCAGCTAAATTTTTTTAAATTATTTCCAAACAAAGGTTTATTTATTTGAATTATTTTTTTTGCATAATAAAATATTAACATTTTTTTTGTCGCCAATCTCTTTCAAACGCCAATTAATCGTTAATAAAAAAATATATTAGCTAGAAAATTGCTTTGAAAAAACTTTCTATCTAATAATGTTTTATCGATTTATTAGTATAATATTAAAACTAATTTATGCAAAAATATTATTTAGGTTATAATTATAAATCAAATTTAGCTAAATGATAATTGTGAATAAATAAGATTTAGTCAAAGCACATAATTGCTTTTTCACTAGGTGTATTTTGTTGTAAATGTACAAAAAACTTTTCAAGTTAAGTTAGCTAGATTGGAGAGTTAAAATAGCTATTTTTCAAAGGAATCATGTTCTGTACAGTATATTGACCTAATAAAATCCATTTCTGCTCCAAATTTATAGGGAATTAGTTAATTTTCAATACCGGAAAATCCCCATCTTCAATTCAATAGGCAATGTAATATAACCTTTTTCTGGTATAGCGTCATAATTTTATCATTATATAACAAAAAAATTATTGTTTCCGAATAGCGTCTTGCTCAATTTTATAAATGTTAATTGAAGAATCATTTTATAAAACTTGGCCTGGGTTAGAAATCAAAAAGGATCAGCATTTCTCTAAACTCATCTAATTAGTTCCCTGCTTTGGATATGTTATAGAATAAATGATCTTACTCTGTTTATAAGAGCACAAAATATGTAAACAACATTTATGTTATGCAAAATTCCTCACCTATTTTTACCATTCTTTCGAGTAATTTAATTCTCATTTAAAACGAGCATTTATTAAAAAATATTATTCTTAACAATAAACCTCTTATTTATACAATAAAAAGCTGAATTTCTATAAAATTATTTAAAAAACTTCTAAATAAATTTATTTGCTTTAATCAAAATAATCTATATTTTCTAATAAATGTATTATCTATAGACTTATTTTTGAAAAAAAAATTTGTGAATTTTTAAAGAAAAGATTACTCAGATATCCTTATTTTTTACGCGAATATGCCTTATAAGATTTGAAAAGTAATATAGAACATCAAATCATTTTATTTTCTAACAATAATTGTGTCATCTTGAAACATTAAAAGGAAATTTGTTCATTGATATAAAAAATATTGATTAAAAATATAATACATATGTACATAATTAGGTGGGGAACATATTTTATTGATAAATATTTACTTTTTAAAAAAATATTTTTTGAAAGAATGAAAAAATAATTATGAAATTGAAGGAATATATTTTCCTACTAAGCTATGGTACCTCCATTGATTATTAAATCAACTATATTTCTTTTGTATATTTATTATATATTAATTATTTAGCTCTATAAATCTATTTTTTTATACCAATGATGCACAAAATTATATTGAATATATAATATTATTTAGAATTTTTTAAAATAATTTTATATATATTCAGCTGATTTTTATTTATTCAATTATAAGTTTATTTAAAAACTTATATTTTTTAATAGATGCTCTTTTTAAATGGGAATTCGTTCGAAAGAATGGTAAAAAAGTAATGGCATTTTTTTTCCTATTTTTTTTATAGGGTTGTGCCGATCCACATATATTTTACCGATCCGATATTTTCTGATGCGTTATTTTTTAAGATTTTTGAAATTTTTGGACACAAAAGGGTTATAATATAATTTATTTTGTAAAGATATTATATTATAAATTCAATGAAGATGTTCCCTGGAAAAGTGATAATTATCATAATAGGTAGGTATTTTTAAACATATAAGATTTTTTTGTGACGCTAATGGGCAAAAAGTTGTTTCGCTAAATAGGCTAAAGTAAGTATTGCAAACATTTAAATATAACTTCAGTGAAGATGTTCCCTGAAAAGTGACAATTGTCATAATCGTTATTTTTAAAGTTTTTACGCAAATGGGCATAAATATAGAATGCTAACATGTTAAATTAAAAATTATGAAGATGTACCCTAAATAAATTCTAATGACAATTGTCATAATCGTTATTTTTATTTTCAATATTTTAAATTTTTTAGCCTAAATAGGCTAAAATAGGTATTGCAAACATTTAAATAAAACTTCAGTGAAGATGTACCCTAGAAAAGTGACAATTGTCATAATCATTATTTTTAAAGTTTTTTAAATTTTTTTGACGCAAATGGGCATAAATATAGATTGCTAAGATGATAAATTAAAAATTTAATGAAAATGTACCCTAGATAAATGACAATTGTCATTATAATTGGTACATCTCCACTAAAATTTTATTTAAACATGTTAGCAATGCTTATTTTAACCCATTTACGTCAAAAAAATTCGAAAAACTTTAAAAACAACGATTATGACAATTGTCACTTATCTAGGGTACATCTTCACTTAAATTTTATTTAAACATGTTAGCAATGCTTATTTTAGCCCATTTACGTCAAAAAAATTTGAAAAACTTTAAAAACAACGATTATGACAATTGTCACTTATCCGTGGTACATCTTCACTTAAATTTTATTTAAACATGTTAGCAATGCTTATTTTAGCCGATTTAAGTCAAAAAAATTCGAAAAACTTTAAAAACAACGATTATGACAATTGTCACTTATCTATCGTACATCTTCACTTAAATTTTATTTAAACATGTTAGCAATGCTTATTTTAGCCCATTTACGTCAAAAAAATTCGAAAAACTTTAAAAACAACGATTATGAAAATTGTCACTTATCTAGGGTACATCTTCACTTAAATTTTATTTAAACATGTTAGCAATGCTTATTTTAGCCCATTTACGTCAAAAAAATTCGAAAAACTTTAAAAACAACGATTATGACAATTGTCACTTATCTAGGGTACATCTTCACTTAAATTTTATTTAAACATGTTAGCAATGCTTATTTTAGCCCATTTACGTCAAAAAAATTCGAAAAACTTTAAAAACAACGATTATGACAATTGTCACTTATCTAGGGTACATCTTCACTTAAATTTTATTTAAACATGTTAGCAATGCTTATTTTAGCCCATTTACGTCAAAAAAATTCGAAAAACTTTAAATACAACGATTATGACAATTGTCAATTATCTAGGGTACATCTTCACTTAAATTTTATTTAAACATGTTAGCAATGCTTATTTTAGCCCATTTACGTCAAAAAAATTCGAAAAACTTTAAAAACAACGATTATGACAATTGTCTCTTATCTAGGGTACATCTTCACTTAAATTTTATTTAAACATGTTAGCAATGCTTATTTTAGCCCATTTACGTCAAAAAAATTCGAAAAACTTTAAAAACAACGATTATGACAATTGTCACTTATCTAGGGTACATCTTCACTTAAATTTTATTTAAACATGTTAGCAATGCTTATTTTAGCCCATTTACGTCAAAAAAATTCGAAAAACTTTAAATACAACGATTATGACAATTGTCACTTATCTATGGTACATCTCCCCTAAAATATTATTTAAACATGTTAGCAATGCTTATTTTAGCCCATTTACGTCAAAAAAATTCGAAAAACTTTAAAAACAACGATTATGACAATTGTCACTTATCCGTGGTACATCTTCACTTAAATTTTATTTAAACATGTTAGCAATGCTTATTTTAGCCCATTTAAGTCAAAAAAATTCGAAAAACTTTAAAAACAACGATTATGACAATTGTCACTTATCTAGGGTACATCTTCACTTAAATTTTATTTTAACATGTTAGCAATGCTTATTTTAGCCCATTTAACGTCAAAAAAATTCGAAAAACTTTAAAAACAACGTTTATGACAATTGTCACTTATCTAGGGTACATCTTCACTTAAATTTTATTTAAACATGTAGCAATGCTTATTTTAGCCCATTTACGTCAAAAAAATTCGAAAAACTTTAAAAACAACGATTATGAAAATTGTCATTTATCTAGGGTACATCTTCACTTAAATTTTATTTAAACATGTTAGCAATGCTTATTTTAGCCCATTTACGTCAAAAAAATTCGAAAAACTTTAAAAACAACGATTATGACAATTGTCACTTATCTAGGGTACATCTT